TCGATTCGAATTTTACGTTATTACTACGAACGTACGATATCGAGGACGATTGTGCGTTTTCAAGTTTTAATATTATTGGCAAATACGAGCTGCACAAAGATAAAAAAGCTAGAGTGGAAATATCTGAATAATTGTGAATTGATTGCATGCCTTACGTTAAAAGGGAGATCTAATAATTTTTAGGCGCCGACAGGCGAGGCCGTGCTTATATGACCCGGCACACGGGTAATTGGAATTCCTGATACATGTCGTACCGATCGACGGCAACATAATGCAGAGAAAGCGAAATGTGCGATGCGGAATTGCGATGTTCCATTAGCGAGCGTTTTATTTACCACCCTAATGCGCGATAATCATGCGTGTATGCGTCAAACTGAAATGGTTGTATAAGCCCATGTACCGAAAGCATTAGTGCATTTAATACTACGAAGAAATATAGCTCGGAACCTCTGACGAAAGAAAAAAAAAGAGATAAACAGCTCTTCGCATGGAAATAATCGCATCAGGAAGTAATCAACAGCATAAAGGGGTCCCTGTACGAAAAACTGGGGCTACTATAAAGGCAGTTTGGACGCTAATGCTAATCATTATGTGCTGATACTTACATGACAGGCGTAAGTGTCCGATTAAGATTGGAGTCTCGATAATTATTAAAATAAGCGCACATAATAAAGACTAATGTACATTTAATCCGTTAGGACTATCGCAGGAACCGGTTGTTATCGTAATATCCGCCGTTCCATCGAGAACAATTCTCAAACCGTGGCGAGCTCGTCGACGACATCTTTCACGACGTGACGAGCAATAAATCGACGTGGAAAAAAGAAACGCCTTAGTAGGTTGATACGAGGCTGGCGAACCGGTTCCGGGCCGCGTTTAATGCAGATGCGCCGGGACCCCCTACGAAATCTTGTAATGAAACGATTTAGACGCGGAAATCTACACCTAAATCGAGTGCCGGCGAGCTTTCTCTCGCGACCGGTAGAAATAAAGACTGATCCTCTCCTGCAAACGAACGTCACGAGTCTTTTCAGGTTCGTGCAGCGACATTGTTGACTGCTCGGTGCAATCATAAGGGAAAGGTAATATCGCAGCCCCCTGGACCTCAGCTGCCGACTCTGTCTCGTATTGGCTAACTGGAATACCGACTCGCGCGCAAACTAGGAATAGACTTTGATAGGCACCAGTGGACGTTGTAAAAAAAAATCATTAAGGTTTAACTGGCCTTTCTAGTTAAGCAAGTCATGCAGCATCTCAAATCTCGATAATCAATCGCGTTCGTCGAAGGGGATTGTGAAAGAACGTAGCGGGAAGAGGGAGCGGAATGTTTAGGGGATGGTATCACCCAATTCCACCTCACGTACGCCACGCCCAAGACTTTCCTGGAGTATTCGCGGAGAAGGACGGGAACGATGATCGTCGGCGTTTCTGCCGGCGCGGCGGCGTGACAAATCGCGAGCCGCGATATCGTTCGGCGGCGACAACGCAACTATTCCATTAAAATTCGCAGCGGTGGCGGCGGCGAACGATAACGACGTCGGAGGTATAGCCGGGACCGCACGACTCCGTCGTTGCCGTCGTCATCGGCGGCGACGGCGGTGGCGGCGACTAACGCGCACGCGAAAGTTTCGTCCGTCGCGATGCGCGACGTGACACGTCGTGGCGTTGCTTCAACCGTCGGCGAGATTATATGCGGAATTCGTACCTCGGCGATAAACGGGTTTCTATAGGCTCGTGCGAAATACCGGGTGGCTTGACAAGAGCAATTTATCATGCTCGATCTGTATTTGCATACGTCGTCGGAGAGCCCCGTCGCTCATGCCCGCCGCGACATCACATAGTCGAGTGCCTTTTGAAATTTGCGTGTTTGCGAATACGAGGCTGCTCTCTATCTCTCTCATTCTCTTTCACTCCCGTTCCGCCCGTCCCACCTTCGTACACACACGGCGATCGCCCTCTGAACCCTCCCTCTTTCTCTCGCTCCGCAGCTCATCGCTTCAAACGTCCCCGACGAATGCCTGCGAGCTTCTGTTCGAGACAAACGATGCGCGAGATATGAATTCGTGCGCGGGACTTAACTGATCGTTTCGAGGGACCCGCCGATCCGCCGCGTTGGTAATCGCGGGGCTGCCGGACGCTGAAAGAGGTCCATCTATATTCTATAGCGTTCGTCTGCGGTGCCGAGAGAACGCCCGACGACCCGTGAATTCAGTAACGCGTAGGTGCCGTATTTGATTCTCATCAGACGCGTTTGCCCGTCCTTCCCGTTCGCACGAGTGAAGCGATCAACTAACTTGGAAAACGACCAACAGACAGGCTAACTTGGGTAGATCATATCAGGACTATATTTCACATTTCCGTTTACACCTGAGAGATCTTAAAGCCCCTTCTACCATCCGCAGCGAGAGACCAGAGCGTCCAGTTTTCTCTCGGTCCAGAATGTATCGGAGAGCTTGAAGCTCTCTCTAGGGCCAGCGGTCACGCCTCTTCCCAAACGGCCGCCAAGCGCATTTCTCGATACAGATAAGTCATGTCCGTCATTTTTTAACACTTGCGCGCGCGATTCCCCCGGACCCCCCTTCTTCGGACTCGCCTCTTTCAACGGTCTCTCACCGGCAATATCGCCCGGGCGAACGCGCACGGTGACGATTTCTCATCGGCCGCACCGCCGGACTTTTCCAGCGGCGCGAGTTTTATCTCGCGCTTCCACCCTTAATTTGATTAATCGACGAGGATCTTGACCCTCCGCGCCGGCATTAATCACCGTCCGGTCGTATGCATACATGGCCGCGGCATTAGGAGCGCCATACCGGGAGACCGTGGACGGTCTCTCGCCATTTGTTAGAACCGCTTGTTTAGAGAGAAGCTTTACACACTCGACCGGCTCTTCCGCCTCGGCGCGCGGATATTAATGGCGGATTAATTCGGCGGAGGTACATCCTCGATGTTACGTGAGAGACTCGTACAAGTTGGGCTCGCGGTGTCTCCCGTCATCTGCCCGCGATCTTTTCAGTTGCCATGATCGGCGGGCCAATTCTTTTTGGAATTACAATAGGTACGTTTACCTTCTTCCTTTAGGGGACCACTTTTATCTTAGAGAATCAGAAAAAAATACAATCGATCGGAAAGGATGTAGAAGAAATTCGCTGGGATGAAAATTTAGAAATGTTTATCCAAATCGTAAATCGTTATGCGTTACAAAATTGTATTTTGATATTAAAGAAAGGGGAGAGAAGGAGAAAATTATTTTATCGCGCTGACAAACAGGTCGCCTTTTGTACAGAAATGGTTTTTACAATTATTTTAGCAATTTATACGATTTTTAATAGAGAAAGTTCCTACTGAATGGGACACTCGTATTTTTACTTTTTCGTCTTTTTATTCACTTTTACTTTTTTTTACAGTAAAGGTGAACAATAAATAGAACGTGCATACGTTATTTTTAATGTTGCTTACAGAATTCATTCGCGTGCGTCCTTATTCTTCTTTTTTCTCATTTATGCAATTCGTTGAATATTATCGCATACAATGACGTCTACGCGACACGGCCACCTGCAGGAGCAGCAGGCGGGCAAGAACGACCGATTAGAAAAGACTCACTCGCTATTGCGAGGCGCTAAACGTTCGCCCTGATTTCGGTGGCAGACCCCTACTGCCGGAGGGTCGCAGGTCTTGATTTACTAGCTGTTTATACCCTTTCCAACCCCTGGGGCCTGCATTATAACCGTATTTATACTAATAGCCTCGCCCAGAGTTGCGCTAGGTTCACAGGTCTAGGTGTGATTTACTGACAATGTTGTCGCTATTAAACGCGACGGTAAGAAAAATAAAAAAGCAGCACAATAGCCGTGTGTACGCGGGCCAAAGGGTGGCGACAATGATGTTCGGCTATTACCTGTCAGCCACGTAAGATTATGACTTCCGTCTCAAAGAACACCGAAAGGAGGCGAAGCTTTTGGTAGCGTCGAGATACGTTTGAAATAAGCAGCTAGCTGTTGATGGAAATTAAACTACGTCCGTTTAAATATCATATATCACTGTCCACAAAAAAGGAATCTCGCGGTGATCTGGGCAATAAACGTAAAGCGAAAGTGTCTCTGTATCACGGCGCAAATCCATATGAAAATATCCTTGTGACCCTTATTCAATACGCACGATAAAATCGGCTTAAACCGACCCCTATTTATCCCATTGGAATAATATCGATCACGCATAATTAGAAATTAATTTACGATCGAAACTGTTGGGCGGTGTAGACGATATAATCTCCGCGAATAAATTCGCGATGCTTTGTCAGCAAGTCAGCGAAAGATTGAGCCATTCCTCTGTAGGATCGATAAATCAGAAAGTTCTGAAGGATGTCGTCGCCGATATATGTAGAGAGAACAGTCGAGCAGTACGAGCTGTACCAGCGGACGGATGGAAGGAAGGAAGGAAGGAAGGAGGAGGAGGAGGAGGAGGAGGAAGGAGGAGCCGTGGCGCAGGGATCTCTCCAGTAACAGGATGTAATTATGATCGGTGAGATACGTCACGCATAACCCCCGTATTGACGTCCACAAATCACGCTGCACGGCCGGCCATGCGGTATCTCGCGCCACTCGGGGGACTACGATCCTCAAACTCAGACGGCCTAACGCGACACTAAATCCAGAATTATGTACGCCGCCGCGCGTGTAGACATCGACGTGGACGCGCGGGATCTCCCGAGGATTCGCCGTGTCAAACGTGGGAAATGTGACGCTCGCGAAATTAGCACTTAAGGCGCACTCGTGAGATACCATCACCTGCCCCGACGAGGCTGGAATAACACGGCACTGGAGCGCGTAGAACGTGCACCCAGATTGTGCCGGACAACTATTTATCTTTCAACTTTCAAGATATTCCAACATGCAAGACGCACCCCTTTACCGGGACCGGGCACCATTTTGCGCTACTTCGTTGTTGTATAATATGATGAATACACAGGAAATTGTGGGATAATAACAGCATAAACACATACGCTCACGTGGACATATTTAATATTTTATCGCAATAAATAGGTGGGAAGTGTACATTTTGTCGAGCTAATAACGGTGTATATTATACACTCAACACATTCATACTTTACAATCAGGCCTTTTTCGATTTCTTATAAGCAGAATAATAAAACTGGAAAAAGGTTGATATGACCACAATGCCATTCAAAATTGTTAGGGCCGAGAACAATTTCACGTCCGAGTTACCGCAGCTAGGTACCAAGGCTCGTAGAGGGACTCCCATCAAGAATGCTATATGTACCTTTTTGAATAAAAGCTGTATTTAATATCAACGAGTATATCAACGAATTAGATTCAGAACTTACGATTTGTATAGTAGTCATCTGTTTCTTGAGTGGTAGTAGTTTTTGTTGCATATTCGGTCCAAAAGTACTCAGAAAATAGTAAGAATACATTATCGTATGTACAATACCATTGAGAAACGCCATACACATAAGAAAACTATGGATGTAGTATCTCGCTGATCCCCACAAAAAAAGTATCGTGGAAAGATGATGGTACGTGTGTAAAAATGATATCTGGCGGTTTTTTTTCCTCAGTACAAACACTATGGTTTCAATGAGATCAAAAAATTTAAGTGACATTCCGAACACCATTATTTCAAATATCTGCAGTAAGAAAATTAAATTTATTTGCGAAATATCATTGTTATCTCAAGTGCTCAAAAAAAAATTAATTTACAGGACGGGGAAAGGGGGGGGTATTGAATGCTAAATGTAGCATCAGAAAAATGCATTTGAAAAATAATTATCAATTCGAATACGTGAATCTGCTGACGATAATAATTCCACGTTGTAAGATAAACTGCGTTATGTCCGGAAAAGAAATTCAGCGCGTAGAACTAATGTGGAGAGAAACGGTATATAGATTCACGACTTTCAGAAAGATAGAAGATTTGCATTGCCTTGTGACCCACATTGGCGTGTTCTCATATGTTGTTTAGTTTTAGACAGGGGTCTTACTTGAAAGTTTATTATCTCAATTGTGTTAATTTTTGCAGAGTTATATATGTTCTTCAAATTCAATATATACCGATATTATTACGTGTATGTCGTATGAGTAACAATTATTTATTATTTAACTCCAACAAACAAGTGTACTTAAATTCAGAACACTTGAGTATAATTTAAATCTAACCTATTTCTTTAGCAATTTAAAAGTTTAACATACCTTCTCAAGGTCAGGACCGTAAAAATCATCAAATGACTCACAATATCTCCAAACGGTAGCTAACGGTTTAGCATATACCATGACTTTACACACTAGATAAAAATTTGCAACTACTTGCAAAATATTGTAACATCGTATAACCCATTTCAACGAGTACGGTTTTCTGTTTTTCATGAATTGTGGACCAGCGAAATAGACGATGTATATATAGAATAGCGATAGAGAAAGAATTGGTATCGGCGAAGACGCTACTGTCCACTCTACCGTTCGTAGATCCGTGTAATCTATATTAATTTATATAACATAATTTTGGAAAAAAACAAGCAATTTTTGTATCTAAGAGAAAGTTTAAAACTATAAAATATATAATAATTCTATGTATTCGTAACTTACTAGCCATTATTTCCGAAAGATTATTAAATTTTAATTGAGCTATAGTTTCACTTTAGAATATGTTTTCCACGGTTGCCTGAACAAAACTAACAGTAGCGAAGAAAATCTAAAATATTAGAAGTGCTGATGCTATGTAAAATCATACGTACATATTCATCACCGCTGCTTGATGCAATATAAGGTGCTTCCATTGTAAGATAATATACTCGATTCTTGCATAACATCGGACGTCTATGGACAGAATTTAAAAATATAATAAATCGTTTTAAAGAGAATTGAATACTAATTTAATTGTTATATATTCAATTAATCTAATTTAATTATTTTTTTACTGAAATTTAGAAAAACGTAAAAAAGATCTTTAATAAAAAGGTATGTTCTTAATATGAGATATCCCAAGAAATCGTTAATAGGAATCCTTTTGGTACACCAATACATTGGTATGCAAATACAGACTTTAGTGATGGTAAAAAAAACCGTATATCGTAAATTCTCATAAACTTTGCGTTCTTTACGCAAGAAGGAAGCTGAGTCCTCAAGTATTTAAAAAAACTGGGGGGATTTAAGTTTAGGACAATCTTCAAGTTATCGTGCCAATTAAACCTATTTTAAAGTATACACTCAATTACCTAATTCATTTCTGGTTAAGTGGAACAATGATCGAGCGAAAATATATGTTAATGTTTTACACTTTGCGCGATTTATTCAGTTTCGTAAGTTAGTTAATTTACAATGCAACCTCGAACTTAACCTACTTCATAATTATTTATAAATACTACTTAATCGATGCGTATAAGATATCGAAAGATATAATAGCTACTATGTTATAATTTACGCGTGGTTTTCTTTATTGCCTCATCGCGCAACGTCCACCATCCAGAACACGATCCGAACCTAGCTGCGGCGTCGTTCGCAGACACGAGCGGTTGAATCGTCGCGGATAATTGCATTTGCGTGATGCGTTGGTGCAGCGCGAATGTGTCTCGCTAGCCGTAGGCGCCACGAAGCATCCGGAGGCTGTCCGGGACTTCCGCCTCGCCGAATGCACCCGTGGCTCTACTCACCCTCCTGCCCCCTTCATCCACCCCCTTCCCTGGGTCCCTTTAAACTCCCTTCGATAATGCCGCGTTCCTATGCGGACCCGGCCATTAACTGCGATATAGCGGACGATCACGTGACGTAACCGTGGGTAACATCAAAGCCAAAGGCATAGTTGCACCCCAGGGAAGGCCTATGACGTTAGCCTATCTCGCTGCAGCCCGCTGCCTGCAACTGCACCGCCTCGAGGCGTCGTCGACGTTACCGCCCGTCGTCCTGGTGCACGGTTAGCTAGGAATTTCGGCTTTAATGCTTAACCACTTTCCAGATTGTCGAAGCTAACACGTGTGCGTAGTTGCCGTGGCTGCAAATTATTCCGTCAACACATCTCTCCGCACTAGGGACTTGCTTTTACACCAAAAACAATGCAATTAACAATATTTTTGACCACTAAGTAATGCCTATGCAAAACAATTAATATTCATAATAAATTGATTAACTGGTTGTATATATAAATATCGAGGCTTACATTGCTACTCGATATTGAAAGATATATCGCGTGTCACGAGCAAACTTCAACGTACGAGCGGAAGTCAAGGAGTCTCTAACCAAAAAGAAGTACAATTGATATATTCCGGAACCTACAATCAGACATCCGCGCGAAGGAAGTAGCAAAGGAATAGAGAGACGGTTTTACATGCTACTTACATGCTCCACGCTAGCTTCCTTCCTTCCACCCTTTCCTGCCTTCGTTGCGAACGACGAAAAAGTTTCACGGTATTTAAGCAAGTTGTGCATAAAATAGTAACGAACCGTCAACCATATGTCGCCTGCTACACAATGTAAAACCGCCCTGCGGGACTTGATAATCGCTCTCGTCCCAATTTGTTCCGTTCTGATTGCTCACGGGACTGACCTGGGATAACCATTACTTACACGGTTCACTTGCTCTACATATTGTGTGTCTACGATATGTTATTTTCTTAGGGCTCCTAAAGAGCGAATAGGGAAAATATCGAATCTTCGGTATTTTCTTATAGCTGCTACTTTACGCACTTAATTTTTTTTTCAAATAAAATAATCATTAAAAAGAAAAATTTATAATTGGCTTAAAGATTTGGCCCGCCAATTAGTTGTGTTTGCTTTTCGAAAAAGTTTCAAATGATTTTTTATTTTCTCAGAAAAAAGACAGAGGCGTAATTACAGGTAGTAATTATTACAGGTAGAATTGCTTATACTCGTATAATGGAGTAATTGCGTACGCAATGGTTTATGGTTGTATAATGGAGAAGAGCTTGAAGGAACAGATAAAGAATTCCAGAACAAGTGCAAAGAAGCGGGGAAAAATAGGGAACATGCAGAAAAGGAGGAAGCGGTATAGGAGCCCAAGCGAGCGTTTTCGCGACAATAGACAGGATGTGCGAAGGGTTACCATTGCAAATCACAATAGCGACCGCAAAACGTGAACGACAGGTTGAATAGACGTGGCTAGAGAAGCGAGTCCTGGAGATAACCTATTATTACCGGGATCTCTTTTATACACATATATAGGCTATTCTGTGGGAAAACTGCGCTCCCTAGGGACGATTTACAATTCATCGATGAAAAAGAAATATCGCATTCTCATCTTGTAGATTTTTATTTTTTATTTCTATTTTTTTTAGATTCTCTGCGTTTTGATGAATACATACAAAAATACGATACGTACTGCAGATATTGTACATCGCGCACATGTAAATTTAAACGCATATATGAAAGAAAACAACAGCGTAAACTATATAATAAAAATTTATTTGTCAAAATAAGAATCTTACATACTAGTAGAGTCAAATAGTTCCCGGAATTGGTCAAATTATTTGTATTTATTAAAGTTACAGCAAATTAAACTTAATTACATTCAAAATACTCTTCTCCTGCATTCACACACGTTCCCCAACGTTAGTACAATTGTTGAAAACATTGCTGAAAGCCATTTTCCATCACATCTATAGAATTTGCAAAACGTTGCCCTTTCAATTTCAGTTTTAGCCGGGGGAACAGTAGAAATCGGCCAGTGCGAGATCGGTTGAGTAGATAGCAAGGTAGAGTCGAACTGTCAACAGAGAGCTTAACGTGGAAAATCTTCGCCGCCTATGAGATACAATCAGGAGGAAACGTCCAGAAAACTGGGCAGAAAACGCTTGGGTCTTACTCCACGACAATGCCCCAGCCTATCGGTCATTACTGGTGAAAAGTTACCTCACCAGGCCACTTGTGAACTATTGATTCTAGCCCGACCATGTGTGTAAATTAAAAAACGTGTTATCGACTCGGTATAAATTACACACGTGGCTCATTTAAAAATAATTTAATTTCTAAACTAATGTCCATTGGCAAGAGTTTATTATTGCACTGCACCGTTTTTTATTGGGGAGGATGTAAAACAACATATTTAAAATTTAGCCAAATCCCAGCATACGGATCTATATCTTCCCCTTGTAAGATCTAAAACTAAAATTGAAAGGACAACATTTCGCGAATTTGGAAAATGTGAAGGAAAATGCGACGAGCCAGCTTGTGGAGCTTTCGAGAAATGGCTGTCAGAAATGTTTTCAACAATTGTACGAACGTTGGGGAAAGTGTGTGAATGCAGGAGATTATTTTGAAGACAATTAAATTTAATTTGCTGTAACTTTAATTAATAAAAACACTTTGACCACTTCTGAGAACTTTTGGACTCTCGTAGTACAAATATGGTATATTATCATTCAGACGTTCATGTGAAAGCGTTTAAAGTAAAATATCGAAATGACAAAGATCCTTAAAAAAAATTAAAAGATCGAGATTACAGAAAATCGATACTTTCTCCACACGTTCATTTGCGTAATGTTACAAAATCCAACTCTTTGTACATATCTGTTAGTATTCCACAATTTATATTCAAATAATAATGATTGAAAAACAAGTGTTACCCCAAAAAGTCAACTTTTGTAACTAGTATTTATCTTACAAATATTTAATTAAGGTCAAGTTATTTTTTTAACTACCTGTCGCGCGAATCCCACTCCTCTGAGCAAATCATTCGCCGCAAACGAGTGACTTAAAGGCTGAAAATAAAATATAATCCGACAGTAAAATATTGTATTGTATCTCTAGTTGCCTCTTTTCGTTCATGTATACGTCGTGACATTTTCGTCGGCGTCGCAAGACCCAAGGCTCAGGTGCATCGAGCCATTTAATTTGAAACGCTTCCGCGCGGAACACACGACGCTAATCGCCGGTCGAAAGTCGAAACGCGCTTCGTTCGCGCGGAGGGTAGGAAACCAGACAGGATATTATTAAAGAGCGTCGTCCTGCGAAACCGACGACGGGAGCGAGCGTGATAATACTTGGTAGCACGCCATACGCGGACGGATGGCGCGTCGTCGCGGAAAATAGTGGACCCGAACCTGAAACCCTGCAATATTCCGCCACGTAGCCAGGTACTCCGCCTGATTACCAAGCAGCACGTGCCGCGAGATATAATGCCGTCTCCATTTGCCAAGTAGCCGGCGATATAATGCCGCGAAATCGCTTCGCCGTTAATTCACCGTCCGCAGTCACGTAAGCTGCGTGAGTTATCCCGCCGCGATACCGTCAGGGATTTCTGTAAGGGAGCACATATGCTACGTTGGAATATTGAGGATAAATTATTTGTGTCAGCGATATTGAATTTTTCGTAGGCATGCTATTTTGCCTCATAATACATTTGTCGACAATAAGCATGGCAAAAGACACCATGTAAATCACTTGCATTGCTAGAGCATCGTTTTTATTAAATATTAATTGAATCAGTTAATTATATGAAATAGTCAATTATATAAAATAGTTAACATGTTCAAATCAATTTACCATTTGCATTGACACATTTTATAATTTGTTTTTCATGTCATGACACGTAATATTTGAATCACATCTTTTGCAAAACCGCAATAATATTATCTTCATGCTCTTTGGAATCAAAGAGTCAACATTATCACAGCATATAACTTTAATAACAGTACGATTCTAATGAAGTAGCATTTTG